AGGTTTTATTGCACAATAGCTATTTTCACACTATAGGAAGTGCTTAAGCAGCTGAGGTTTAGCTTTGGCTTGTCCTATAAGAGCACAAACCTAATGTAGAAAAAGTTAGGAAGTTCGAAAGTTTGTTTCCTTCTTTTTTTCAGAGAAGACCGGGTACAGGAGGACTGGGGAAAAGGAGAATGATGTGGCAAGGGAATAATACAAATTTCACAATATTTTGAGGTCATATAGCAAAAAGTTAACAAAAGCAAAACTATTCAAACACTCCAACCCATCAGAGGGGTACGAGCGATGCCTGCCTAGTTCCTTCTTTAATTCTCTTAACCTTTGGGATATTTGCAGTTACTCCTTTCTGGGACACCAGAAAGGACACCATTTCTGACGCTAATGCATATAAGTTTTGAAGGGTTTCCAGCTACAGCTGGTCAAAACACTTCTGCCTAAAAGGACCTTTAACCCCATCACCGTTTCCAGATATTTGTTCTCACATTTTACTCAAAAAAAAAAAGGAAACTTCATCCCTTGCTCTCCATCGCCCACCCTTCCATCCTCACCCTCCAAGAGGCAGAAGCCATTCCCCGCATGCCTGACCTGCACTGCGTCCCTGCATCATGACTCACACCCTCACACCCACCATATCAGCAGCTCAGGCTTCTTCTCATCTTTCTTATCGTCTTGCTTCGGGAATAAGTGTGCATTACGGTGATGAAAATAAGAAGGAGCAAAAAGCCTCTGTTAACTTCCACGCCACTGCCTACTGGGGACATCTTTGATTACATCTGACCTCTACAGACGTAGCTGCCTGAAACGTTGGTAGACCTGTGCTTGCTTCTGCCCACAAGACAAGGCGATTAGTCCCTCAGTGACACCACTCTGTTTTTAGAAAATGACCTTTCATTACTCAGATCCTAAGGATCTGGGCTGTGTTTGATCACTCATGTTTGAAGTGGAGGTCAATGTAAAGCATATTCTCCTCTGTTGTACAGGTAACATCTCAATTCTCAGAGATAATTGCAGTTTATAGTTGAGTGGTCGGACCTCTTTCTCCAAGACAGCGGTCTTTTATGCACCAGAACTACCAATAAATTTGAAGGGAAAGTAAGGAGTTCAAACTTCCTTATTATTTTAAATAATTGATCTACTCAAGCCGAACATTTATGCTCATCTGAGCTTCAGAAGTAGGAAAGCTATTTAACTGACGTAAGTCTTGTTCAAAATGACCAAATGAAGAAATCTGAAAAGGGAAAGACTTAATGCTGTTAACCTCTCATTTCATTTTTGCATTCCAAACCATAAAAATCAGTAAGAAAAAGTCATGGTCTCCTCCTATTTTAATCCAAAAGACACTTCCAGTACAGCACACAGAGAGAAGCGTCTGCAGTATTTATGCAAGATGAAATAGAAAATATAAACAATCAACTTCAAAATTTAATTTAATTTCAGTATTAAAATTCTCCTGCATGTAATAAAATATTTATTTCAGGTCTGCTACATTTAGCCTGACACCATTACTTGAAAGAGCTGCCCTATGAAGCACCTTGAATAGGCCAGGACTTCGATGGTTGAGACACCTGTCTTGTGCACTGGAGACCCCAGTTCAGGTGTTTGCTCCAAATACAACAACAAAAGAACCTGAACCCACACCTTTCATGCTCCAGGCAAGTGTGTAAATGTTGGGTTATTAATTACATTGTATTATTATTAGATTGATGTATTCATTAATTAGATGTATTAATTAATTCTTTCCAGATGTCCATGATTTCCATTAGTCTCACGTTTTCCAGCACATGCACGTGAGACGGCCACCAGCCTGTCCCTGCTCCACCATTCCATCTACTGTAATTTCAGCACATCTGAGTACCAATCACCTGAAACACCAGAGACTCAGTTAAGATATTTTCACATCTCTAAAATTTCAGAGTCTGTAAGCAATAACGAAAGCCCTGCAGCTGAATGCCTGAGAAGCAACATTTATTATGCTGGTGTTTTCTGAACTTAGTTATTTTGGATGCAGTGCCTCACAAACATTTTCATTCTTATTCACTGAGAAACTTAAAAACAGATAAGATGGGATGAGCTTTGTTTTATTTTGTGGTCAAAGTCAAGTGCACTTGTCCATGTTACCAGCTCTTTTGCAGACCCTTTTTCAGAGCTCTTGCAGAGATACTCATATGCCCTTGTTAATAAGGATTCTGCAACATGATAAACTTCTGTCTCAAAATCACTTACATATTGTCTTGGGTTTAGTGGGATATTGCAAAATCTAATGTTACCCTTTACCTTGGCATCTGAAGTAAAGTGGGTAAGCTTCTCAGCTCCACTAAGGTTTTAAAACAAAATAAATAGCAAGCTTCATTTCCATAGCATTTTTCTACTTCAAAACGATAGCCGAAAGTTTCCTTTAAAGCATGTGTATGTAGCAATAAGAAACTGAAGATCATATTAAACTCCTTATTTCTCCCACGCTTTTGTAAACATCATCTGATTAATTCAAGATGACTGTTCACAACTGGACACGACAAATAATCTGTGAAGGCAATTAGCAAGCTGCAAAGGCGGATGGATGTTCTCATCAGAGAAGACAGTCATCCCAACAAGTCCTGCCAGGAGAACAGAGGAGGAATTCATCTCAGGGGAACACGCAACCCCATCAGCACACTCCTAGACAGAAGACTGGAAGGGGCTTATAAAGAGGCAGGAGAACATCAAATGCCTGGACTCTCACTTCTCAGAGAATATGACTTAAGAGATCAAACTGTGCTGAAGGGGAAGAGAGACTGGGCATTCCCCTCATTACAACAACAAATACTTAGTAAGATCACCAAGCAAAGGTTTTAGCGCTCTTCCTGTCCTGTGTGGACGAATGGACCAACAAATCAGCTCAGATTAAAAGAAAAAGTTAAATGTCCTCAGAACAGTAGCACTAGTGACCAAGATGTTTATCATACTACCAAATTTAGACTCCAGGTTTATTTCCTACTTCATTCGCTAATTCTGCTAATGTCTGAAAACATGCAACAACATAATATGATCATTTTTCTGTTCACAACAAAATACAGGAACAATGAACAATTTTAGAAGACATCTTTGCAAATGAACATATTTCCTATCATCTTAAGTATCTTGAGCTCATAACTGGTGTCACAATTAGTCTTAAGAAGGCATTAAAGATGTTTATTCATTCTCTTTTCCACCTTGTTGGGGAAAAAATATCCATTCCTCCAAGGAAGGATGATCTTGCAGCTACAGAAAAGGGGAGCTCAGCTCCTTCTTCAGGTGGATTATCTGCATGAAGCCACACAAAAAGGCACTTAAATCCTGTACCTTAGCTGCCTGAACTGTAAAATGGAACTGCTAACATATGGTTTGAGCAAGAGGTTGGACTAGGTGACTTCCTGAGATCCCTGCTGACCTGAATTTTCTGATGATCCTATTTGCTTTGAGATATATAAGCATGAATGAGAAGAGCACTCAGCCATTACGGGATTGATTACTGGTGAAAATCTCAAATAAGTATCCTAACATTTTCAAGCTTTTAATGCATAGCTTTTTACTAGATATTGGGCGGGGGGGGAATCCTGTCAAAATGCTCGTGAACTTTGCAGTTTTCACAAGTGTCATCTATAAGAGCCAGAGGAAAACAACGGTCATCCTGTTCTGGATGATGTGGGAGAACCTGCTGGTTTATGTTGGTTTTCAGAAAGCAAACAAACCAAAAAGCAACAAAACATCCAGTTTGACTACATGGTTTTTAAGCGGCACTATAAACTCAGAAAGCATTTCGCTGACTATTACATGCAAGTGTATTTATCAGGCAAGTTAAGAAAAAAAAATATTTGCAGATAGACTGATGCCAACACAAAATCACAAATAACAAAAAGAAAAAAGAAAAAGCATTTGTCATCTTGCAACGCAGAATACCCAATTTGTTGTCACGTTTTCACCATTTATACAAGTGAATCTGCTTAGCATTGCTGGATATGTTTCTTTTATACTAAAGTTCAGCATTTCCTAGAGGAGTCATTCCCTTTCTCTCTCAAAACAGTGAAGTCCTTCCCCAAAGTTCAAGGTTCTAGTCTGTATGTTCCAGGCCCTTCTCTTTAAATCACTAGCCAGTATGAAATTCTCAGTTTCTCCTTCTCTTATTATTATTCCACTTAAATATCAGGAAGGAAAAAAATAGACAAATAAACCTTGAACTTCTTGTTGTGATATACGTCAAGTCTCAGATTAAAGTACAATTACTTTTCTCAAGATAATTCCATATAAATAGTTTATAACTAAAGTGTAACTGCCCAGATGCAAATGCTGAAGACACAAACATTTATGTGCATTCACAATAGATCCTCAAGGAATAACAAATTAAAAAGCAATACCAAAATCCCCATTTTGTACAAATTTGATTTCCCTGCATTGGCCTTTCATCACTACTTTTTTCTATTAACCCATTTCCTGGACCACATTATGACCCAGCTGTATACCTATACAGGGATATAACAGAATGTAAGATACTACATCCTCACTATGCAGCATAAGTCACTGCACACTCCCATGAGCATAAAGTGGCTGCAGGTATGACAGAAAAAATAAAAAATAACAATTAAAAAAATTGCTAGTAGGTAAGATGATTCTGTGTTTAATTTAGAAGATTAGTTCTTGGTGCGAAGCTGGGTCAACAATCTTTTCCTGTTAAGACATGTCCTCTTCTGGGAGTACCTCAGTTGCAGCACATGATAAAACCAAAAACATGGCAAAAGCAATACGAAGTCCTACACTGCAGATGGTCTCAGTTTCTGCTACTACTGTTTTCAGTCTTCTAGCAGATCCCTCAAGTAATGGAGTTGTGATTGACTTTGGACTGCTTGGACACGAATACTAGTCTTATCAGTTCATTGTACTGCATACCAAACTTGATTCTAATACTCCACTTAAAAAAAAAAAAGAGGCGGGGGAAAAAAAGCTTAAAACAAAACACAACAAAACCCCTCAACTTTCCTTACCTTGCTGGAGGCACATCAATATTTGAAGAAACAACCTTGCGCTTCTGTTCCAGAAGACAAACAGAACGAGTGTTTTCCTTTTCATACTCATGCGCTCTGTTTGGTTTTTTGGTCTCTGCTGTTTTTAAATCTTCCTCCTTTGTGGTGAACAGGAGAAACTGTTGGTCTGGCAGTTTTCGACTGATGTCACTTTTTAGATCCTCCTGTTGAAATGCAGGGAAGGTCATTTCACGCTTGATGCTGGCTGCCTGTAAAATTAAAAGCAGTTATTAAATTTCCGTCTAATGCTCCTAAAATGTAGAAGGGAAAAACCCAATACCCACAGGCATTTACTTCTAATTAGCTCTTCGAATCAGAGAATACCATTTCTTTGCCCTTCATAAATTCTGAAACTGCCATTAATTTCTCAGTGTTGAAGACTATCCAGAAAAATAAGCAATTCTTGTCCATTTGATAAAACAATCAGTTGCCTCTTAATGCTAAATCAAAAAGGTATCTGAATGGGAATATCAGAAACCACAGTATATGCAACATATATTTAATGTACACACATCTGTTGCTGCATAACTACGCAAAAGAAATCCTAGCTGCCCTCCTCCTAAAATTCCAGGAAGAAAGGCAGAATTTATCCAGATAAAAGGCAACCAAGAAATTAAAGTGCTTCTGACAGCCACTTACTGGATTCTTTAACAGCTGTATTTGTAAATGAGGGTTTCTCCAGGAGCAGAAAAATAATTTGCTCCAATCCAGCTCAGCTGCCAGAATGCAAAGGGGAGCAAGCGATGCCGGCAGGATCTCCGTGAGGAGCCCGGCCAGCTCCACGACCCACAGCCAGCGGTGAGGAGCATAGACACACACAGGTTGTCCCTTTGGCTGCCAGTGCTTCTCAGATCTTCAGGTCTGCTGCTTCCCGTAAGCAAAGACTTCCCAAGCAAATAGGTATCTTAACAAATACACTACCTCTCTGGAATACAACGTGTTGGTGTTTATAAAGAGAACTATAGTAGAGTTGCAGTGAAGAGAATGGAAAGCCAGCAGAACCAAGCCACTCCGCCTTCCCAGCAAGCAGAACAAAGTCCAGGATCTCGATTTTCCTCTGCAATACCATTCCCTGGCCAGCTACGCTTCCTCAGCTTCACGGGGGCAGACCTATCTCACAGGCTGTCGCGAGCCTCTCGTCCCGCCGTACATCGGCCGAGCTCCCCCAGCCCCCCCGCCTGCTAGCCTCCTCCTG